TGATTGATTGATGGCGAAAGGAGGATCTTTGATTCCTTGAACTCCGGCCAATCCCACTGCAATTCCGCCGATTAGTTAGTGGGTTCTTACCGAAGAAGATGCTGCACTGCTTGATTGGTTCAATCAAAGAGATTTTGTTGTTATTACATGCATTAATGTTGTGATCATGACCAAAGCTGTCGCCAGAAGTAGTAGCAGGAGGATTCTCAAGGATGCAAATGGCAATATCAGCGACCATCTCCGCAACCACATCCATTTGACAAACTGCATCCACCTCAAGAACCACATGCACAAGCAGAGCCCGGTACTCAATGACAGGGCCCTAATGAGAGACCTCATTAGCCTGCAGAGGTCCCGTTCGCTTCGTGATCCTTCGGCGAGCCCTCCTTCGTCGTGGAAGTCACCTTCGGTTGTCGATCTGCTGCCCAAGAAAGGTGATCATGACGAGGAGGATAATAGTCTCCATATACAAGAGGGCAGGAGGTCTTCTGTTGGTAGAAGAGAGAGCAGCAGCAGGAGGTTGTCTGGTGGCTCGCCTCAGGTTTCAATACATCAACCATCGAAGGTTGTTCCTGTAAGTGATCGTAGTAGTAAGAGCGGGATGAAGGAGGGTAGTGGGAGAGTTAGGAGGGAAGAATCTAGTACTAGAAAGAGTAGTAGTAGAACTGATGGTGTTAATGGTTTATCGTTTCGTGATACGGTTTCTGGCAATTCAAGGTCTAGAGATTGGGAAAGTAGGCAGCAGAAGTCAAAGCATAGTGAGGATGATGAACATATCAAGAGTCTTTCTCAGCAGCTGAAGCAGGTTGCTGCTATGGATAGTGATGTAGCAGCATCTTCTTCCAACATTCATCGTAATGGTAGACTTGGTGGAGTTAATCGGGTTAAAAGGCGTAAGTTTAGGGGCGCCAGGGGAAGAAGAAGTCGAGGTGCACCTTCTAGAGACATTGGAGGAGGTCATCATCAGAAAGAAATGTCTGCTGCAGCTTCTAATTCACTACTAGCTCAGGAAAGAGAAGTAGAAGAATACGGAGATCAAAATGTCACGCATGTTCCAAGAAATGGATGTGGGATTCCATGGAATTGGTCAAGGATTCATGATAGGGGGAAAACATTTCTCGACAGGGCTGGAAAGAGTCTGGCTTGTGGTCAGTCTGAGTCAAGGTTGAGGCGAGGCTCTCATAAGAGGGACATGGGTGATATGCCAATGGCATCTGATCAATCAAGTTCAGCGGCATCAAGGTCTGGTTCTGAGGCACTGCCTCTATTAGACCAACCCTCTGCTGGATCGAGCGACAACAACGCTCGTTGGACACATGACTATTCTGGTGAGCTTGGTCTATATGCTGATAATTTGCTGAGAAATGATCTTGATTCTGATCTTGCCTCTGAAGCTAGATCGGGTGATCGTCAAGGCAATCATCAGGGCCAGAATCACAACCGAAGGCATCAGAATCTGACCCAAAAGTACATGCCTAGAAGCTTTAGAGACCTTGTAGGACAGAATCTGGTCTCACAGGCTCTTGCTAATGCAGTCGTGAAACGGAAGGTTGGACTTCTGTATGTATTTTATGGACCTCATGGCACTGGCAAGACTTCTTGTGCCCGAATTTTCGCTAGGGCTCTAAATTGTCGGTCGATGGAACAGTCCAAGCCTTGTGGTTACTGCAACTCTTGCTCTGCACATGACATGGGCAAAAACAAGAATATTAGAGAAGTTGGTCCTAATTTTGACTTCGAAAGATTCATGGATCTTCTTGACAACATGATAGTTTCCCAGTTGCCATCACATTACAGGGTTTTCATTTTTGATGATTGTGATACTTTGTCACCCGAATGCTGGAGTGCGATATCAAAGGTTGTCGATCGAGCTCCAAGGCGTGTGGTCATCATCCTTGTTAGTTCGAGTCTCGATGTTTTGCCTCATATCATTATATCGAGGTGCCAGAAATTCTTCTTCCCAAAGTTGAAAGATGCAGACATTATCTATACTTTACAATGGATTGCTTCAAGAGAAGATATAGACATTGATAAGGATGCTTTGAAACTGATTGCCTCTCGGTCAGATGGATCGCTAAGAGATGCTGAGATGACTCTCGAGCAACTTAGTCTGCTCGGGCAGAAGGTCTCTGTGCCTCTAATTCAGGAGCTGGTAAATTCTTTCACCAATTGGAATTTTTGTAGCACATACAGTCATTCTGCACCCTGCTGATATTTGGAGTTTAAGTGTATGTATATGTTCTAAGACTTCAATGGTTTCTTCACAGGTTGGGTTAATATCTGATGAAAAATTGGTGGATCTTCTTGACCTTGCATTATCTGCAGATACAGTAAACACTGTGAAGAACTTGCGGGTCATAATGGAGACAGGTGTGGAGCCTTTAGCTTTAATGTCGCAGCTTGCTACTGTTATCACTGATATATTAGCTGGAACATATGATTTCACTAGAGAGCGGCACAGACGGAAGTTTTTCAAGCGACAACCAAGTAAGTTCCAATCATTTGTTTTGTTTACTAATAGGTTTTCTGCCTTTTGTTTCATTTACTCATCTCCTTAACAAATGAGATTTGGTTTAGGGATGGCCAAATACTTAGGTTGTGTTTGTTTAAACTTCTGCAACTTGCTTGCTACATTCAAATGTGGTTTTCACTTCAAAAGTTGATTGGGTGAAAATTTATGTTCCAATTCCCAGTGTCGAAGGAAGAAATGGAGAAACTGCGACAAGCATTGAAAACATTGTCCGAAGCTGAAAAGCAACTTAGGATGTCTAACGACAAGCTGACATGGCTAACAGCAGCACTGCTTCAACTTGCACCAGATCAGCAATATCTGTTGCCTAGTTCAGAGCCCAGTTTAAATCACAGTCCCCTGCCCGGCAGAAGAGATACAACCACCAGAACAGTTGTTGAACAGTACACAGAGATGGCTCCCCACAGCGAGAGAAGCTTACCTTCACATCCTAATAGATTAGAAAAAGAACTCCCTGCTAGAACTTCCATTGATCAGCATGGAAACAGATTGAAAAATGGCGCCAACATGGAGATGAGAAGGCAGATCCCAGGCAAAATTCATATGGGATATGAAGAAATTTGGATTGAGGTGCTTGAGAATATTCAGATGAAGGGTTTAAGGGACTTCTTGTACCAAGAAGGAACACTGATTTCTGTCACATTTGGTCCAGGTACTACTACTTCATTAGTGTATTACGTACGAAATATACTGTTCTCTGATTACCATAGAAGTTGAACAGTGTTTGTTGAATCAATTTCATATCACTACTCCAATGATTATTGAAATTCATTTTCTTGAGCCATAACATCAGCAAAACTTTCATGTAAAGGTGCAATGGACTGGGTAGGGATTTAAAAGTACTTGTGGGACATGGGATCAATGACATTTCTTGAAATTGCTGTGCCTTTGTAGCTTAAGTCTTAGAAGTCGGGGTAATAAACTGTAAAATCGCAGAGGTAGATGGGTTTGTTGATAACTTGATATCTAAAAGATGAGTACAGAAAGTGATTTTCCACTATCTCGAACAAATCTGCCTTATAAAAGTTGAAGTGAATTTCTGGACAGTTTGTGGTAGTTGCCACCTCTATGGCTCCATGTCCTATCCCAGCAGCTCTATGCTTGTTTGTTGCAGCAGCTAATCATCCAAACTCAATTGCTGTTATATTTCCAGCTCCAACCGTGCAGCTGGTGTTCAGCTCACAGCTGACAAAATCCAAGGCAGAGAAGTTCAGCACGCACATCTTACATGCGTTTGAATCGGTTCTCGGTTCACCTGTGACGATCGAAATCAGAACAGAACCTTGCAAAAGCAGCAGACCCCACACTCAACTCGTTTTACCGAGCACCAAGAAAGGTTCGTCAACGTCACATGTAGTAGCTAGAGATGACAGGAGGACAGCTTCGAGGGCAGAAGAACAGTATGATAATGCAGGGAGAGATGACGAGATCGTTGAAGAACAACTTTCCCCTAAACATGCAGATTTGCAACAGCATAAGCCAGCTGTTCCACGTAGAGTAGGGGAACTAAGCCACAGTAGGAGCCTTGTGAGAGGCAAGGTGTCCCTGGCTCATGTGATTCAGCAGCGGGTGGAAGGGTGTAATCAGCCGAATACATGGTCGAGACGCACAGCAGTTTCCATAGCCGAGAAGCTGGAACAAGAAAACTTGTAAGTTCCCCCTCTTAAGAGTCCAAAACACCACACTTGTTTTCAGGTCACCTGCATTCGGCCAGGTTTTGAATTTGCGATGGTTGCATTTTGATAGGAGGCTGGAGCCTCGATCGAGAAGTAGCATGCTCTGCTGGAAAGCCACGAGAGTGACCCGTAGGAAGGTAATACATCCTGGCTTCTAAATTCAGGTCTGAGCAAAAGATTTTGGCTGGTGATTGATGCTGACCAATGTTTACACAATGTACTGCAGCTATCTCGTTTGAAGGTCGGGGGAAGACGACCGCAGTCATTGCTGAACTTGATCTCCTGTGGGAAATATCTCTCCAGTAAACCCAGATCGCCTACCTAGAAATACAAATTGGGTTTCATTTCTTCTTCATAGTAACGTTAATGTAAATTGTAATCCAATTTTTTTCCCGCCACAATTACCACTTCCTTAGGCAACCCAATTTAGCCTCTTCACTACAAATTTCATCCTTGAATAAAATGCAAAATCAAAGCTTTTAGAAGATCAACAGAGCCAGCCTTGCTTGGAACATGAAGGTTAAGATGCTTTTAGCCTTTGCTAGAAGTGAATCAAGTACCAAATCATGTCCTCTCGTTCAAACCAAAATATTATTCATGTTCAAATCGGAACAACAGAAGGCTGCAAATTATGTACCTACACCTCTGACTCGCACTATTTGCCCTCTTAGGGGCACCTAGAGGCAACACACAATTGTTTTTCAACCGAACAACAAAACTTATCAGGAGTAAGAACGAGCTGTCTGAATTCCTAATCAGCAAAGTTTTCCTATAGGGCTTGCTCACAGAAGTTGCTAATCTCCCAGCATGAATGGATCTACGTCTCCAAGGTCCGCGACCAAAGGTTCCAACGTATCCTCTGTGCCTTCTCCGCGGAAATACGTTGGGAAAGGAAGCAACGAAATCTCATGCTTCCTGTACACCGCGTCTTTTATGAACACGAAATTACCTTCTGCTCCCGGTACCTACACAACGATAGACCAATTGTTCATACAACAGACAATCTACACAGAAAAGATACATTTTACGAGTGTGCATATGAAACGGAGATGAGGGTGAGAGGAGCTGTACTTGGCCTTTCACCCAGATCAAGTTCCGAACTGGATCGATCTTGTATATCCATACGTTCTTCACCGTTCTTTGCTTGCCACCCATACGCCCAGGCATTTTTTTCCCTTTAAAGACCTGCAAATGCAAATATACATTCATCAGATGCAACCTCGCCAATAGAACACACCTAATGCAAAGCACATGGTAATGTACTCGACGGAAATCAGAATCATGAGAAGATACTCCACGGAGCTTAACTCAGTCTTGACTTTTTTTTAACTCCAGAAGCTAACCAGAACGAAAGCTAACCGCCTGAGTTTTAAACCTACCAAACTGTCTGCTGTCTAGAGAAGGAAACTTCGACAACCAAAGGAAATCAAGAATTTGTTCTATATCACACATTCATGAGTTGAGGATCAATCAATCATATCGACTAGAAGGAAAACTAAATTGACCTAAATCTACACAACTGACAGGGAATTTGATGATGATAATGGCAGCACGGACCTTACCAGGAGCATCCCTCTGACCAGTAGAACCAATACTTCTGTGCGATAACGATGCACCATGACTCGCCGGCCCTCCTTTAAACCCATGCCTCTTCATTCCACCCTGTATACAACCACAAGAATGTTCCATTCCACTTCCATTAAGTAACCAGCCATTGTATCAATCTCTAAAGTTCACACTCAATCAAACTGAACGGCGTAGGCAACAAAATGGAAGACAAAGAGAAAGCTTCTTGACCTGGAAACCTTTTCCCATGGTGATTCCAGTGACATCAACATATTGGCCCGGAACGAAATGACGAACGCCAAGAGAAGTTCCGAGGGGCAGCAGCGCATCTTCAGTGACTGGGAATTCCCTCAATTTCCTCTTCAGAGAAACACCTTGAGCTCTGAAATGACCCACTTCAGGCTTCGTTAAATGCTTCGCCTTCTTCTGGCCACAACCAATCTAACCACCCAAACACCATATGAAACCATGCGATCCCAAAAAGGAAAAAAAGCTGTGAAAGGTAAACATGGCAATGTCTTCATTCTTACCTGCAAGGCAAAAATCCCTTCTTTCTCAATAGTCTTGACCTGAGAGACGATGTTGTCGTCGACCCAGAGCACGGTGATGGGAACCCTAGCGCCCCATTTGTCCCAAAGGCCAGTCATCCCGCACTTGACGGCGATGAGTCCCGTTCGCTTGGACGAAGGGGACATGGCACCGGGCTTGGGTTCGATGATTCGCGAGGGAAAAACAATTTCCTGCTGCTGCTGCTGAAGCAGAGCATCGGAACTGGCAGCGAATCCCCTCATAAATTGATGAAATGAAGATCGTGGACGGGTGACGACTACTGCTGCGGAGGAGTAGGATCTGGAGGAAAGTGAGAGGGTGCGGTGGAGACCGGAAACCAAACGCCTTGACGCGGCGGCGGCGGACATATTTTGGACTGGGGAAGGGCTCTGCTTGCTTTGCCGGTACAGACAACGTCGTCTCTTTCGGCTTTCCTGAACGGGAGGGATTTAGAAAAGAATTCACTTGATCACGTCATCACCGAAAGCAAGCCGAAAACCCGGCCCAACCAAAATAGACTCTGAGCTCGTTTGCCAGGGGTGTTCAAACGGATTGGTTATCATAAATTTTTTTTTTTAGCAATAGGCAACTGGCATTACCAAAATAAAAAATATCAATGTTTACAATCCAAAAAGAAACCACCGATCAAAATCAAAACTCTCAACAACAGCATGTAACAAAGAGAGGGTCTTTCTGGCTACATCATGAGCCACCCGATTGTCATTCCTGCCAACAAAAAAAACGCCAAAGTTATGATAGTGTCGCCGTAACCCTTCAGTCTCCTCAAGGAGTCGCCCACCCTTTAAATCCCGAGCATCTCGTCTCTGAATCTTCTCAATAACTACCTTGGCGTCCCCATAAAATCACACTTCATTAATGCCCTTCAAAGAACACCACTAATCGCGTCCCGAAATGCTACCAGCTCCACCAGAAAAGGATCAACAATATCTGCATAATAAAATCTCACCATACGCACACGTCCCATGCCATCTCGGACAACCAAGCCCCCCACACCATGAGACCTGACGCGACCGCCCCATCCACATGACAAGAAAAAGGCAACGCCAACTGCGACTGTTCCGGACCCCGACCCCCTGCCAAAATTCGACGCTGCGGCATCGGAGTCTGCGCCGGCTGTACAAACGCCAACCATTCCCGCACCTACTCCTCGTACCGACGGGCTAAACACGGTATATCATATTGCAGCTCAAAAACTACCCAGTTCTGACTCTTCCATATTCTCCATAGCAAAGCCACCAAACGCACAATCCGCTCCGTCCCAGAATCCTGCTCAACAACCCTACGGAAGAAAAAAGCAAAGTTAGACACCCCAGCCATCCCTTCCACACCCGCCACACCCGATCGGTTCCAAAGGGTCGCCGCGACTCTACAGGACAAGAACAAATGTTCTAGGGTCTCCACTGGCGCCCAGCAAACAGGGCATCTGGGAGAGATGGTCTCTCCTTCATGAGGAGGGTCGAGGACCTCATAGGGAATTTGCCCCCGCTTCTTAATAATAGCCTCAACAGTGGGTAAAATACGCTTAAGGAGCTGCCACACAAAGAATCCACACTTTCTTCCAAAATCCCATGTCAAAGAGCGAAACCTCCTCCTTCCACCCCGGAGCTCTACTGCTAATCTGAAGCGCCAGATGGTAACCCGACTTCACAGTATACTCCCCATCTGATTTCCAAGCCCAAACACAGCAATCTGGTACCTGCCGAACTGGCAATGGAATAGAACGAATACTCTGCACCGTCGGCGCAGAGAAACATTGTTGCAGACACTCAACACACCATTTCCCCGTACCAGGGATCAAGAACGACTCCACACGGACATCCACCAACACCGGGGCTGAAGGGAGAGCGATGAGCTCCTCACGCCGCACCCCTAGAATCCAGCTATCTTCCAGGACACGTACTTCTTTCCCATCCCCAACCTGCCAAACTAACCCTTGCTGCAATAAGTCTCTTCCATGAAGTACACTAGACCATCCCAGGATGGCCTAGACCCACGCCTAGCTTGGAGTATCGTGGTCTTCGCAAAATACTTCCCCTTCAAAACCTGTGCCAACAAAGTATGCGGTTCCTGCCAAACTCGCCAAGCTACCTTTGCCAACAAAACTTGGTTGAAATCCTCAAAGCGTCTAAACCCAAGACCACCATCGAACTTGCTACGACACAGGTTCAGCCAAGATACCCAATGCGCCTTCTCCTTTTTCACCGAATACCCCCACCAAAAGCGAGCCATATGATTGTCCAACTTTCGACATAAAGTCACCGGCAAGAGAAAACAAGACATAACATAAATTGGCAGCGCAACAACTACCGCTTTAAGAAGGATTTCCTTCGCTGCCCACGACAAATGCCTCTACTTCCATCCCTGTCCCCTGAAGCTTTGCCAATAATCTCTCTTCCAGGTACCGAAATGTCTCCACCTTAGACCGCTGCACTAGGGTGGGCAGACCCATGTATTTATCTTGAACTCCTATAGCCCTAACACCAAGCACTGCCGCCATCTCTTCTGCCTCCGGAGGGTCCACGTTCCCACTAAAACACACTGTAGGCTTGCTCAAGTTAACTTTCTGCCCACTCAGCTCCTGATACATTTGCAACAACTGAACCAATGTTTCACACTCCTGCCTAGACGCTCGCAAGAACATATTAATCGGTAGTATTCGGTTAATTTGGTGGTTATCATGATAACCATATTAATCGGTAGTATTCGGTTAATTTGGTTTGGTTAATTTGGATAATTGATTTGGTTTGGTTAAACAATTTAGCTCATTTGGTTTATGTGGTTTGGTTTGGCTTCAACACTGCTAACCAGTGAAACCAATTAACCAATTAATGATACATCTAATATACAAAATTATTTATACTTCCATGCAACCAACCAAACCAAACTTTCGCGATTCCCTATTTTATTTCCATGTGCAAAACAAACCAAAGCATTATGGGTCAAAAATTAAATGGGCTGCCACTTTACTAAATCAAAACATTTTGGACAGCTACTAGACTTTAGGATTATGTACAATACCATGACAGTCACCTCAAACTATGTATAGTTTAAGTGTTTTGTAGAAGAGTTTTAACTTCCTGATGAGTGATATTGGTATGTATTTAATATTTATGTTAAGGGTTAGTTGTAAGCTAACTATATTAGGTGCAGAGATGATGAATGATGTGTTAACTCGAATGATGATGATAATCATGGATGGTTAGTCTTATTATTATTGCTCATATATAATGATAGTTTATGATAGTAATAACATATGGTTATGTTTTATCCATTAACATGATAATTGTTTTCATGTAATGTTATGTTATTTGGTTAATTCAATTATCCAATTAACCAAACCAATTAAACTTTGATTTGGTTAATTTGGTTTTCGTGTTAATTTGAACGGTTTGGTTAAGACATTTTATTTCGTGGTTAATGAAATTTAAGCTTAATTGGTTTGGTTATTACCACGGTAACCATTTGAACACTCCTATCGTTTGCTTGTTGGATTTGAAAATGAAAGTTTCGGGTTTTAAAAATCTTTAGATTTAAAGATAGATGTGTTGTATCATGAATTTGGAAGAGTACATTTTTTGCTTAGTTAATTTTTATTATGGATTTATGATGGATTTGTCTCACAACTTTACCTTTTTATTATCAAATCCCAAATGAAATGTGAAATTTGCAAATCCGTAGGGTCCACTAATTTGGATCTAAAATCCGTGAACCACAAAGATTTGTGTTCCTTAGCAAACAATGAATTTGTGCCAAGTCCTTCATACTTGGGATTTGAGTGCCAAATCCATCATCCAAATCTCATAAGCAAGGTTGTGAACTCGCGGGCTGACCTGGACCCGGTCGAGCTAGTGGGTCAAGGGTTAATGGGTCACCCGGTTTAGCCCGGAAATATGGAAAATGTCATTATATTGTAGTTATCCTGATAAATTATATCCAATCTCATCTAACATATAATAATACACCAAAATAACATATCGTACTTAGATCCAATATATAGTGAAAATTTACACATACTTATATAACATCAATATTCAAATGTTCAAGTTAAGATTCCAAAGATTGAGTTAGGCGAAAAGAAAATTTGAAAAATAGGCTCATTTTGCTAAACAAAGAAAAAAATGACACAATTTGACATCCAACCCGATACCTTGTAGCGGTCGACCAGACAAATGCGTGCGATTCGTTTTTCTCACCGGACCAGAGTCAAAATAAGTCAACCTGCTGGTTGACAACCTTGCTTATAAGCAAACGATACCTAAATTCTTCAGCTGCCACTTTCCAACTACATTCTCAGTTTCCAACTTTTTTCCTAGACACGGGTGTATGATCGCATCGCACCAGATAAGTAGCAGCAACATCACTTCCCATTCTCCTCCACAAAGCCACCAGATAACTAGCAGGCAGTCGCACAAAAGAAGAGCACAAGACATTGAATCATCATATTCCTTTTACTTCCCTTCAAAACGACTCATCTCAGCACTGAACATCTCATAACCCGAACATTATGATTTCCTAATCCAAAAAATTACAGAGAAAAACATGAACAACAATTTTAAACTGTAAAACATGGAGTGAGTTGTAGCATTTGATCGCAGCAGTCAGAATTTCTCTGGTATCCAAAGCAAGAGACACCAGAAAAAGACAGACAGCTTGGCCGTCCACAGAACTGTCTATTTACTGCAAAATAACAACAGAACAGAACACAAAAAACATAGCACAATACAGACAGACGTATTCCTGGTAAGATGCAAAGTCGAACAACAAGAGACACGATGCACAATATTAGAAGATTCAGCATACTGTAAAAAGTAAAAAACACTGAACTACTCTTCTATATCATATATCACAATAAGACCCGATCATGTACCTAGTTTTATTACATGTGCAACTATCTCAAGAAGTGGAAAGGCCAGGCAAAACAAAAACCAAAACAACAAAAAAGGAATGTATCTGTTCTCAAGTTCTTCCTGCAGCAGGGGTAAGAGGCCCCACCTGCCCCGCAAGACTATTTACACTCCTCATATTCCACCAATTCCTTCCATGGTCACTACTGCTAGGTTTGATCTCATTCCTTTTGTCACCTGAATCCCTTCTCTCCGACTCGGCTTCCTGTGCATCAGCAGCTGCAGCTGCAGCTGAACCAGGATTCTCTGTCAACAGTTGCTCCCAGAACACATCATTCACCCCAGCAGCAGCAGCAGCAGCAGCAGCAGCAGCAGCAGGCGGCTCTGTTGTTGTTGTTCCACTTGCCCGTTCCTTTGGCGGGCTGAGCTCACTAGTTGTTACAGGCTCACAATTCATGTCTATTCCTGGGGATCTGGGATGAACAACAACATCTGATATGTTCAGCTGCATGATGGATTGTGCTGGGCTGTCTGCACAGCTTGTACACTCATCCATCTCCACCAGCGACGGTGTGTACTGGTTATGATTGAATGGTGTTGCAGTTGTTGTTTGACTGACATCGTTCACAACGTTCTCCCAGAATGTCAAAGATGACTCCAACAGCTCACACTTCTCTACATTTTCTCTGGCCAGACATGCTGATGATATCTCCATTTGATTGCTGTCATTGTTGGTGTTCTCCGACATGAGTTCTTCTTCGAAGCAACCGATTCTAGGCAGCCTTCTCTTTCTCTCATGAACTTCTACCTGCTGTGGCATGAGATCCAGGGCTAGCCCTGGTGGTGTGTTCATTGCCTTTGTAAGGCAAGAAGCAATCGTCTGCTGACGCCGTTCGAGTTCTTGAAATTTGTCTCTCAGAACCTGCATTTGCAGCTCGAACGCTCGTCTCTCTTGCTCTTTCCTCTGTAACTCGACGACGAGCACTTCTTTGTCGTGTTTAAGCCTCTCGATGTCGTCTTTCAAACTCTGCCTTTCAGGGTCTGACAAGGGGTTGTTGTTACCATTAGATCCTTGTACTTGTTGTAGGCTCTGCATAGAGTGGCTGTGAACAGGCTTCCTTCTGTGGATGTTCTTCATAAGGTGTGGTTGACCTCTGATGAAGTCCTCGTTCGCAAATTCCCATTGTTCTGGGTCTACTTTCCTGAAGCCCTGTTAGAAATCGACAATCATATTCCAATTCAATGAAAAGGAAAAGAGAGAAAGTTCGTTGATGGTGGGAAAGAAATCAGCTTTGACTTACATAAGTATTGAGCTGTCTGATGAAGCTGGAGAAGTTGTTGTGCTTGAAGAATCTGGGGAGCAAATCACGGGAGAACTCCGGCGGACTCCATACTATGAAGCTTTTATTACTGGCACTCCACGAGACTACTGAATCTGTTGACGGATCATCGACCATTTCATACGTCTTTGTGAGGAAAGGCGGCAGAGAACTAGAGCTGCCCTGCGTTTCTTCCATCTTCGATCAACTCTCCGATCTTCAAGAATTAGCAGCAGAAGTCAACTGCCCCGCAATTCAGATGCGACTGGATAAGAGAGATCAAATCAGAACCCCTCAAATTATAATCTCAATCTCAAAGGAAACAACACTCAATCTTGTTCTGGTGAAACCAACCAATCCATCAGGTGAACTCACCAAACACCTAACCTAATAAGAGGAGCGAAAAGGGGAAAAAAGGAAACCCCTTTATATCCCAACAAAAACAGCTGTTTCCAGACTCTTTCTGGCCCTGTATGGTGGAAAATCAAACCCCAGCTTCCAGATGAGAACAAAGAAAAAAGAGGGAGAAATAAAACGAAGGAACAAGGAAACAGGATTAGAGAAGAAAAAAACCCTACACTAGAGGGAATCTCAGTAAGAATTCAACGAACAGAAGCATCTGCTCTTACAGTCAAAAGCAGAGACGTGTAATAGCGAATTCTGGAAGCTCCCCCCCCCCCCCCTCACCCCAATCCCTAGCAATCGAGGAGCATCACGAGACTTGAGACTCCGTTAGAAAGTCGACGAGAAAAGGACCCACTTCCCCACTTGTGTACCGCTATTAGAACAATCACAGACCTCATAAGAAACGCCCCCCCTCTTTTCCCCTTTTGCTCCCTTCTCCCCAGCCAAAGGTCTAACAGTTGCTGGCAGCTCCAATCGCCATAAATTTGTACGGCCCACCCTATTTATGGCTAAAACTAAATAAAGGGGCTCGAGGGTCGTCGGCGATTTCTGTTTAATTAGTTGGAAAATCTTTGTTTTTTATGGAGTAAACTTCAAAGAATCAATTCAACAAACACCTTGCCTGCGTGCCTTCCTTCCCATTGAACCCAACCCCACTTCCCCCTTCCCCACCTTTTGACGAGTCGTTAAGTCGTGCGTAAGCAAACAAAACAAGTCTGCAAGCTTCGGACTTGGAGCCCAAGCAAAGCGACGACTGGAGCGAGAGATTACCTCAAAGCGGTGGGATTCATAACTGCAGGCTGACTGGGTGGTTTGTTCCGCCGGCGCCGCCGTCGTTTCGGACGCTTTCTCGCTCTTTGAATCGCGTGAAGGGAGATCTCCTTCCTTTTTTTATCCAGATACGCCAATTATGTTTGTTGACGGATTCTTTATTTACCTATAACCCGCCTGTCGCCACCATTGATGGCGAGAGATTAGAGATTGGGCAGGAAGTGATTAAAGCCTGATAATCATGAATTAAGGGGGGAAAACAAAGAGATTTATTAAATCGAGAAGGAATCTGAGGACAGACAGATTGGTTTTTCTGGGTTTAGTCGAAATTTAATTTCCTGGGTGTTATGTTGTTCTGCGTTTGTCTTTTTTTTTTTTTTTTGACAAATATTGTTGTGCGTTTGTCTATCTGTGGTAAGGCGAGGGGATGACGTGTGTGCTTAGGTGGATAAAGAATTAAAAATAATTTATGGGGGAGAATTACGTTTATTACGTATGTTATGGTTTGAATAAGTTGCACAATGGTACTTAAATGGGTTAGAGTGATACTTCTGGTCCTCCTATTATGGCATGTTAGCATATACATTCTTATACTAAGACTTTTTAACGAACATTTCATTCGAATTTGTAAAATTTTGGGCATTTATTCATGTTGAGTGTTGACCACCGTGGAGTTGTCAAGTTGTTTGGATATGTAGATCCTAATGATATGATTGATCAACTTTGAATTATGTAATAGGTGACTCTCATTACTAATAGCAAATTGTTTACTGACTCGAGTTCACTCAATAAAAGCACTTGAGTTTGAGAAATTTGAAAGATCGACTCGAGGTGAGCTAACTCTTTCTTTTTTTTACTGAATCCAAAGCTAACTTCGTTCAATTGAAGCCCAATTGCTAACTAAACCCAATCTTCTCGACCTCCCACACCCACAGGCCCACACAATCCTTATCCATCTACTCCAGATGTCCATCACTCTTTCAGGTTTCATCCTTCTTGTATCTCCTTCTTCAAGCGACTTCATCTTCTCCTCCTATTTTCCCTCGACTTCTTCTTCTCCCTTGTTTTCGGGTCTTCAGCTGAGGATGGAAGACTGGAGTGGTTGGTCAGCGACAGAAGTCAGATCGAAGCGGGGCTAGGAATGGTGATGGACCGGTGCTGGCCTTCGGGGGATGATGGAGTGGTAGCCTCCAGTTGAGAGAGGGTGAGGAGAAGGTAAGGTCGAGTCAGGTTTGAGGGTGTGTTGGCCTTTTGGGCTGGATTGGGTGTGGGTTTTGGGGTTCTTGATTAGGGCTTAGACTATACAAGGTCGTGGGCTTTTGACTGTGTATTAGTGTTGTTATCCGGTTTTCCAGTTTTTAACAGGATTAGACCGGAATGATTTTTCTACCTATCATCAAGACCGAAGACTGTATCAGATTGCATGCAATCCAATTTTATGGTACAATTTGTTTACCCATAAAAAATCAGCTTGTACCACATCGATTAACCGCAAGAGACTTAATGAATTTATAAGGCCAGCTCAACATTAATAATTAAAAGAGCTAGTTGGGCCTTGTTGGGTTGGGTTTTTGGGTCTAAGTGGCCAAACTCCTTCTTTCCTATACGAGGGTCGACCCGTCTCCTTGGCCCCCATAGCCGGACATTGCCTCCACCCCTTGGTATGAAATTTGGCTCCCAAAAACTCAGTCCGGAACAAGGCGACATAACGGGGTGCCAAATGACTGGGTACCAAACAGACTTGGTACCATGACATGGAATTTGGTTAAGTATGACGCCAACGTGGTACCAAGCCGGCAAGACAGACTTGATAGCCAGACATCATGGTATCAAGCTAACAAGACAAGAAATTCGACCAAGGCATGGTGGCTAACTGAGGTAGCCACCCAACTAGGTACCAAACAACCATGGATGGATCGGCCAGGACGTAGAGTTGAGCCCTTATGGGGCCATATGAAGACAAATTCCCAAGATGGGCTTGGTAGCACCTTAACGGGGTACCCAACCGGTAGGGTGCAACTTACCAACTTGACGAGGCTACAAAAACTAAGTATGGAGACCAAGCCACCAGGGCTGGCTTGGTAGCATGCTAGAAGGTGTCAAGCCGATGAGACGGCTTGGTAACAACCAACAAGTTAACGAGGAGGACTTGGTGTCATGAGGTGGTAGCGGTCTCAGGAGCGAGAAGTCATCAAGCAGTCGAGGGTGAGATCAAGATCTCATCATGGTTCATGAAGGCTAAGGCAAGAGCCTCAACCCCATCCAGTTATGAAAGGGCGACAAGGCTCAACACCAACCCGACCCGACATCAAGGCTATCAAGTACCCACCAACCCCAGGACGGGACAAGGGCCCCCAAGACGACGGTTACCAACTAGTCACCAAGGCGATGACCAGGACCCCGAGGTGGTTTGGAGCAAGAGGCCAGCTAGCCGTTACTAGGGCGGTTACCAAGGCACTTACACCCGGTGGCTATAAATAGGAGAAACGAAGACGGGAAAAGGGTTCCACAACCAACCATTTGACACACTATGTCAAACTTTATCTTTTTCTCTGCAAACTAGCCATAGCCTTAGTTTTAGGGATGGCAACAAAACCCGAACCCACGGGTACCCACCCGACCCAACCCGGTCAACGCGGGTAAAATCCGTTTTGACGGGTTTTGGGTCGGGTTTGGGTTTAAACCCGTTCACTATTCACCGGGTTGGGTTGGGTTTGGGTTTAGGTAAACCCGACCCATGGGTACCCGCCTACACCCATATAATTAATTTTCTTGGTATATTTAATATTCTAAACAACTAATCTTACTTATGTATGTGGAGACATGTCTAATTTTTTCTTTCTAATTGTGTAGAATGAAGTTGATGTTATCTAGTGAGAGTGAAGAAACTTAATTGAAAGGAAGAAGCTTTCAATTAATCATGTTATTTATGGATAATTTGTGATTTGCTTCAATTTTCTTGAGTTTTCTAGATTAGTGTTGAACAATTTGTATAGTTTATTTGTGATTTGCTTGAATTTTCTAGAATTGTGTTTTAAATATGGATAATTTGTATTGAGAGATTGATATTTGACTTTAATTTTGATAGGAACTTGTTATTGTAAATTTTTTACGACAAAAACCCGTGGGTACCCATAAACCCGCGGATACCCAGCGGGTTGGGTTGGGTTTGAGTTTTTCAAACCCAGTGGGTTTTACCCCTGGTTTTTTTCACAGATAAACCCATGGATTTGGGTTTGGGTTTGGCAAAACCCGAACCATTGCCATCCCTACTTAGTTTTCGGAGCTCTCACTGAACCTCCATAGGAGTAGGTGTAATTAACGTAGTTTGTTCCCAAAAAACCATAAAAACATCAAACACCCTCTTTCGAACATTATTCGGAGAGGAGTGAACTGTGTTAGTGTCGTTGTTCAAGAAGTCAAAGGTGCATTAATTGAGTTCAAACACCAGAGATTTTCCTCACTAGAAAACAAATTGGCACACCTGGTGGGACCCTGGGTGTTTGATTTGATGGCTCCACGACTAAAAGAACAAGAAGGTGATATTTCACCTGGATTTGTAAAAGAGCTAGAGGCTAGATATGATCTTGGCCAAATAGCAGAAAGTGACGCCGGAAACGATGGTGGGGCTAGAGTTCAGCCATCACCGGCGCCATTTTTGGGTGTAACCGCTGCCACCTTGTCTCTTCACCAGTCACTGGTGGTAGGAATAAGATTAATGGAGGAGGCTATGGTGGGATACACCAAACAAATGGTATCTCAACTTGATTGTTTCCATACTCGCATAAATCAACGTTTGGATCAACTAGATGAGATTTGCGAGATAAATAAAAATAATTTTAAGGAGTTTCGTCAACTTTTATAAAACCAGTGTTGAGATTAAAGGTTTTGGCAAAAGATGGTGTAGATCACCCGTCAAACATTGCTACTTGATATACGAGTAATCTAGACTCTGGTGGCTGGACTACTCAACCACGGTCAGAGAACTCATCGTTTCTGATGGAAAGTCAACCACCTCTTCAACATGGTGGTTGTGGCGAGAATCTCGCTCCCACGTTCACCACTCATGTAAAGCAACCACCTGTGTAGACGGTTACTTTAAAAGTCGTCTCAAAGGCTAAACTTTGCCCGAACGTGAGAGTTGGTGGAGACACACCCACTGAAGATGTGCTAACAAAATCATGTTCAACTATATTTCCATCCATGCCCAGCAAGCCTGATGGATACAAACCATCAAGGGGGCAGCAAGGAGGTCATGGAAGCCTACCACCTGACAAGTTGAAGATGAAGTGTCAGGCTGGGGGGGGCAAGTTGATTTCAACAAAGAGGAATAAAAGGGTGTCTCCAACATAACACCATATGTGTTGTATAAATATGGAATGGGGCATCTCATCAACCACAAGCAATGGGTTGACAATTTTTCCCAAGAAGGCACATGCCCAAGCCACATGTGTTTCTAGTAAAGGTGCTAGTGTGACTAGGTGTGACATGGGGGGCATGGATCTAGCCTCATGTGGTAGAGTAGGGGGCATGCCTTCGACCATGAAAAAACGAGTGGGAGGTATGTCATCAACCACAAGCAGTGGACATATAAGCATACCAAAAAAGCCACAACATGAAACCACACATGTTTTTAGTAAGCATACTAATATGGCTAGGTCTGGCATGGGGGGCACGTCAACAATCATGAATAATGGTATGGGGGCATATCTCCAACCAGTGGACGAGAGGGCAATGCACCGACCATGAAGAAACAATTGAGAAAAAATCATATAAGTGTGCAACACACCCAAGCCACTCAAAAAGTTTCTAAGTATGAGAGTGTGTTAAGGGATGGACAAAGAAGCAAGTCCATGCTTAACACCCCTCATGGCATGCCAAACATCAATGGCATACAATGGGGCATGAATAAGACATCTCGACACACACCAACTAGACATGGTCCCACAGAGGGCCAAGGGTGGTTATGTGCTAATTGTAGAGGTCATCAAGACATAAAGGTTAAACAAAGTCAAGTTGGACACAAGAGTGATCATTAACTTGTTAAGCCCAAACACTCGTCTTCCCAATCAAGCAGGGAGGGTAAGCATGTGTCAAGTTGGGGGAAGCTGAGGCAGAGAACAACTTGTGCCCCCTTTAATGGGTCAAAGGAGTTGAGAATGTCTACTGTACCACCCGAAAAAAGGAAAACACTTCAGGGTCAATGTCAAAACCCCAACATGTCTAGTAAGATAGCTCGAGATGGAAAGCATGAGACCCATTGCAAGCCTGCAGAGGCAAGACAGGTTGATCCGGTACCATCTGTTAGAGTGGAAAA